ATCCTTCTCTATTTCCTCGTAGAAAATCTCATTGCCTTCTGCTTTGGTGTCAGTTTCACGGAGGAGGAGCTCTGGAACAGTCAACTGATTTTACTCGATATTCTCGTCGGTCGTAAAACTTCCACTGATCTGAAAATTGAAAGGCTCGTCAGAGCCACATGTATGACGCGAGCGAGCTTGGCAACCATGTGATCATCCGTAATTACCAGTTGCATGCGTTCAGACGCACGTCAGTGGGCCGGAAGACAGGGCCACCAAATCGTAACACCATTCTCGTTGACCAGAACAAATTTTTGACACTCTGGGCAGCTTTGCCACTCAACGAGTGTAAATGTATGACGAGAGACCTAAATTTTGACGAGAACTCGCGTATGTCAAGGAGGCCAGGACGTCTGTCCACCATATCTTAACTGCCTTCGCGGTCGTTATAGCGCATAAACCACACGCAGTCACCAGGCGCAGACGAAAATTCACCGACATAGCAAAAACGTTTGGAGTGGTCTTTCAGGGCTGTTAAAGTTTAGGGATTAGCATCTACGTCGGAGGAACAGAAAAGTCACTTTGGACGCGAATGCGCCATGGCACATGAGCAGTGGGGAGGAATGGGAGCAACTTTCAAACTGTAGCCAACTTGATGGTTCCCGACCTCACCTTATATTACCACGATGCGCAAATTCATGCAGATATCAGCCGTGCACGTTCTGAGCAACTTTCGCCAATCACCGTTCGAAACATCACCGCCGAGGATGGCAAGTTGTATTTGAGTGTCGTCCAGAAAACCTACTTCCCATTTAAGAGTTTCTTTCGATAAAACGTCGTTGTCGTTCTAACAAAACTTACGGCGTAGACCTCTTTCTTTTTTCAAAAGTGCTTCAGGAGATATAAATGAATGCTAAGATTGATTCTTATTTAAATATACTATCGTCGATTTGCTTCTTTCCAAGAGCTAGAGACCTCTTCGCTGATAGTAAAGGCGGAGGACGTGTTAATCTCCTCAGCCAGAACTAGTACGTTACCTGTAACCCTTTATTTGTTCACCGTAATTACCTTGCAGACATCATGGATTTCATTATCAAACGGGGTTTTCTGATTGGGTCTAAGCTACTTATTAGCATTTATATTTATTTACAAACTTTTTACGATGCCTTCGCCTACTTTCTTGATTTTCCGGCAGATCGAGTGATAAACTGCAATGTTTTGTCCTGACATTCTTCAATACGTGTTTTATGCCTTCCCGCAACTCCTGTCCGATATGGCTGTCCTAAGTTTTTGATTTTAAAACCAAGGTCTAACGGTCTTGGTTTTTTCTTTCAATGTTTTTAGGTCTCCCAAAATGTATACCACTCCTAAGACGGCAGGTTAAACCGGACTTAAATAGACAGTTAAGCTTTTGGGTGTTTCCTCCAAAAATCTCCTCTGTATCAACGTCAGCTACTAAATATTAACCCAATTTTCCGAAATTTTAAATACCCGTTCATGTTCATTTATCTTCTAGCATTTGTGATGCATCTTTTGATTCACGTAGTCTTACAGAAGAAGTTATTATTATGTCCGGCAGCATTCATCCTCCTTATTGTAGACCCTAAAGGCATCAGAGGGACTGCCCTCCAAATACGACATACATTGAAGTCTGATGAAAATTGATAACCTAATAAGAAAGAGCCGCATTCAGCGTCCATTTACTCAGTGCCTGTCTATTTCTACCTCACCTCCTTATTTATCCAAACGCTTGAGGAGACTTGAATGGTCTTCTGGCCAATGACAATCACCTCTTTTTGACAAAAATATAAATTTGCTAAATAAGCACTCCGTTTCTAATATTAGCCATGCCCATATCCCGCCAATTAACGTTTCATTAAGCGGCGACTGTTACTGCGTTTTTAAAAGGTCCGTGGTTCAGTGGCAGCAGAAATCGAGGATATATTATGTCTGGCATACTGTCACAATAGTTTATATTTTAAAAACATATAGTTACCTTTATTTCAAAGTCTTTTGCTTAGATGCTCGGCCATCCATCATTCCGAGGCTCATTGAGCAAGGTTTTCTAGGCATTGCCGTGTCACCGGCCTTTATTTTTATCTATCTCCTATAATTTTATCATAAAGCCAGAAGCAAACCTCAAAGGCTGTTATTTTCCCGATCCATTTTGGTCTTAGTTGCCTGCAACTGGGTTATCCTATATGCTTATGCAGATTCGTTGACCATTTCTCCGCCTTCACTACAGTTTCGCGCCACTTGTGCCACAAGAAACCTGAGTGTAACTATCCCGACTTAAATGACTTTCGGTGTGCTGGTTAACTTTGCCTAAATTCAGTTTACCCAGACTGAGAACTGTAAGGCGACCCTTATTTTGTATATCCATGGAATTCTTCCAAGTCCCACCTCATTCCCTTGTCCCTATTTCCTTTACATCTATTTTCTGCGACTATTCTAATGCTGTCTATATGTTGTTTATTCTAGCGTCGTTTGGGCCCACCATGACAAGAATGAGTTCCACTAGCTTTTAAGGAATGCCTGAATCGTTGATTGTCACGCCCCGCAAAAAATGCCTTATAGCCGAAGTCATTCCGGTGTCCTTTTGACCACCACCAGTCCTAAATCGTATCATAATCACATCAGTGAATTTCCCCTTTTCATGCAGTAAGTGTTACCCTGCCTCTCACTTGTTCATTTTTATATCACGACAAATCCAATAAAAGTAAAATCGTTAATTTGCTCAAGGTCCATTTTCCCACCAAACCTTCCACTTCTTGATCTGGTCATTTATAGATGCTAATACTCTCCCTTTTATACTTTTCCATTCTCCTGCGACTTCATCTGCTTTAATAAATAATTTACATTTCTATTTTAGGATCTGTTCTTCGCATATTCCCTTCTGCTGCCGGTGCCTGTTATTTCATTCTGCTCCATGACATGACACGACGACATTTTACGGCTGTCAAACGTGTGTCTGATTGAATTCTCGCGGATGTTTCCCACCCACCCCACTTTGCAAAGTCGCGCCGTTTACCATGGCATCGTATCCGCCATTTCCTCCGTCGTACGCTGGCGTATCAGCGATTGCGTATACCAATTTTAGTAGACTTCCCAACGAGTTATAATGGGGAGGTCTAAAAGCTCATATCAGACATGTCAGTGCCCAATCATTTCTATGCGATTGGTTTCTCGCGCTGGTTAGTCATTTATATCTCACCCATGATGATAAAAATGTTTACTGAGAAGTTCGAAATGCTTTTTTCAAAACAAAGTTATTTCTTCTCTCTCCCACCCGTTCACTAGTCCACGGCCCCCATGATACTCCTGTTCTCCTTTCACTGTCGGGACTTCTCCCGGGCAGAGTAAATATCCACGTAGGATCGGCACAGGCGGACAGCGCTTCTGGTGGGAATACTGGCGAGGCATGCTGATGATGATCCCTAAGATTGGTGATGATATCCCTGCCATTAACGTCTCGGATGCGAGTTGTTGAACTTTTATCTTACAAGGTATGCAAGCCTGGGATAAATGCGAGGACACATAACGTTGACAGGCAAACGGTTGCACGGAAACTGCACTCGGTGTAAACTGCGCCCTCACCGTGTTCACTATACTTGCCTGCACCTGCTTTTGATGATGCCGCGTGTGAAGCGGAAGCGTCCGGAGAAGAGAATTCTTGTTCCAACGACCGAGTCTTCTCCTTCTGCATCGCCCTCTCCCCCCTAAAACGCGTCTTTATGCTTTTTCCGGCCCTTGTATGAGAACATCCCTTGTTTATTGCAATGCCATCACGCCGAGAAATTTGACGACACACATTTTTCATATTTATTTACTTGTGGCATTTTCTATTTCTTATTGTCCGTGTGCATGAACAATGAATGAATATGTTTCGAATGTTTTGTATTGCTAATCCTTGTCCCACTACCGACATTCATCTTTTACCTTTGCTACTTCTATTTCCCGAGTGTTTTTCAACAATCGAGCCGACAAAATGGATATAGTGTGAGAAGGCTCTGCTAAAATCTTAACCATCAGTAATCAGTTTTAGGCCGATTTCCCTTTTGGGTCATATGCTAAAATGTTTTGCAAAAGCAATCTGAAACTGACAACGATTGGAAGACCTTTACTTTTCTTTGCATGCGCCTGATTAGTCTGGACACACTACGTTCAGGAGGGTACGCAATTGCGGCAAACCCACACTCAATAGTTATGCAACACGACCGTAGATGTATTATTTTCCGTCATTAAATTTTTTAAACAATATTAGTGCATTCTTTCTCCCAGAGGATGCATCAGAGTAGTAAACCTGGTAATTTAACTGCCCTGACAACAGCTAGTTGATAAGATACCTGGAAATCGGAAACGCTGTTTCCGTTGCGTCTCAGTATCTTTGGTAAAAACTCGTGGTCAGGAACTCATTCCCGCATTTCTGGATGTTCTCAACGGGACTGTAACTGCATGTTTCGGGATATTACTGAGTGAGGCTAAAGCAGTTACTCAAGCACGTTTAAATTTATATCTTATAAGTTGACCCTCTAAGGTCCTTCGTACTCCCCTGCAGACACATTGACACATTTTGAGCAACGTTCAGGTCCAACCTGACTTAATGGCCGTTTCGACGCATGAGATTACTGACTTCAGGCTCTAAAAAAAGTTTTCTTCCAGTTTTGCCAGCCATGGAAAGAATTATGTAGTTTGAGTTAAGTCGGTTCATTGAATCCATGACATTGTGCCTATCAATCCTGCACGGCCTCGAAACCACAGCTGTGTATGCACTTTCGGAGAGCCGGTAGGTCGACACAAGGAAAGGGCTGGAGTATACTTATCTCATTCATCTTCTAAACTTTGTCTGAAAGAGTTTTTCGTTCTCTATGACTGCAAGTGACCATCTCAAAGACTTTCCAAGTGGCTATCCCTCTTTTGGGTATCTATTAGAGAAAAAGCGTTGATGGTCGGAATTTGAAAGTGTCGTCCCGGCTCGGTATGTTAACGATAATGTCCATAAAATCAAAGAGGAAATACTTTTACAGTTGTGTGAGGCCTAGCATCTTTTGCTGCAGATCAAGTAGTTCACGGTTAAGGGGGTGACCGTAGCGGTGGTGGAGGGAAGAGGAGGAGAGAGAAGAGGAGGAGAAGAAGAAGAAGAAGAAGAAGAAGAAGAAGAAGAAGAAGGAGATGGAGGAGGAGGAGGAGGGGGAGGGGGACGAACCGCCGTTCATGCACATCTTTGCCCACCGTGATACACTAAAAGGAACCTTACAAACACCAAGTCCTGAGGTAACATGATGCTTACCCGTTTAATTTTAATTCTGATTTTTTTATAAGCGAGTAAACGTACTGTTAGGAGATGGGACATGGAGTGGAAGGACTACATTCCCTCGCCAATCGGTTACGAGAAAGGTCTTTGACCGGCTTCGTCCGGTGCATCACATGTTCCCTGACAATCGAATGACCATCATGAGGGACGATTAAAGTTTGATAAGCACAACCTTATTTTTAAAGAATGCTAATAACTACTTCTGGACGTCGGCTTCATCAACTGGCCTGAAGCAAAAGTTCGGCAACGGACCACTAGACTTAGTGGTCTGTCACACTAAAGAGATCGTGCTTTATTCATCTGCCGTGTCTTATTTTTGCCAGATTGATTTCATCGGCGTTGTTAGTAAGCGATAGCAAATTCACACTAACGAGTACATCTGGACAGTGAAAATATGAACCCCTTCTAAATGGAGGAACGCTGTGTCATGGCTAAGCTTAGGCTGATTTTTAAGATGCAGAAGGCGTTCTATAATTGAACGGCCGCTGGGCCACAGGACCACTGGTGGATCGGTTTGCATGTGACCGGTAAGGAGGGCGACTGGCGATGCCACAACGGGTAGTGCGAAGAAAAATAACTCCAGAGAAGACGTGGGAGAAAAGTAAATTATGGGAATCAACAGCCACCTACACTCCCTCTCTTAGGCAAACATTTATAGACAATGCGTCATGCCAGGACGTAAAACAGTGATTGCAGTGCTGCCACCTGCCTTCACACAGTTGCAGAGGGACGACTTTTGAGCCGTTATTCCTGTGGGATGCTATGTAGCAACACATTACGGGGTTTAAAACGTGCTTGCTCTTCAAATATCACTAAACTGAACTGGTGGCTTTGCATGCCTCTCTACCTCGGCATTGTCTGACTAATCCTTATTGCATGTGTTTTTGAGCGAGACTGCTTGTTGTAGGTGATTAAATAATTTATCAAGAATTCGCCATGGTTGTTAATTAAGGAGCTAATTTTTCGCAGTTAAAAAGGTACGCCGTGAAAAATTTATAAATAATAAATGGCCACCACAAATCATTGGCAAATGCATACTGGTTCAGTCTGGGCGTTACCACCAAATTCACCGAGCATTAACTCGCTATTAAAGTGACGATATGGGGGTGACGCCTACCCAAACAGGCCGTATTCCTAGAATAGTTAAATTCATACGCACCGCAATATGGCCCATACGAAATATCTTTTGGGAGAAAAAGTACATTTCATAGGGCATCATCTTTGACAAGTAATCTTTCGCGTTCTATTTTCAAATACATGCCAGACAATAAGCACAGGATTGGTTCAACAAAGACTTGGGAGCGCTGTATCGAGTGTCCAATGGTTGCGGCGGAAAGCAATAGTTGTGCGACTTGACGAGGGTCAAGCAACTATCATCGCAATAGACAGCCATACAGACATTCACACAGAGGGTTGTGTTTTTCTAGTACGACAGTGCATGCACAACAGCTGTTAACTTAACTTACCGACGACACAACGAGGAACGACCTATCATTCGTGATGCGTAGTCGTTACATCTTTTAACCCACACTCTCACACAGACCCTAACACCTAGTCTATTTAAGGACCCAATTTGGCATAACCATTCATGCCCAAGGACTAATTACCGAAAATGTTCGTTGCTGGGACTTCTTCAAAGTTTATATCATTTGAAATGCCCCGCAGTAACCTACGACAGGCGTGAGAATTCAAGAGACCGGCACAGCATTTAGCGGTACCCCCGTTGAACACTCAATCCGCGTTCCTTCCTAGCCCCCTACCGCTGGTGGTCGCGTTTTGCTAATGGGCTGATTTGTCACTTTTTCTCTGAGCACTCCTGTTTGTCGCGGAGCTGTTCAATTTGAGACATATGCAAAGTATCTTCCTCAAAGTCCAACTACCATATTTATGCAGCTGTGGGGCAGAGCTTGCAATCCCAGTATAGCAGTAGCCTGGAAAAATATTTGTTTCCTCTAACAAAAACACACTCCTTAGAGCGCCAGCATGGTAAGCAGACATTTCTGTGGTGGCCTTCGACTAACAGACTGTTGAACGTCGCTTTTGTTGCAGCTACGTCGTAGGCGAACTTTTCCTTCCCTACTCTTGACCGGAGTTGCCAGATATCTTTAAGTTGCATATCATACCAACTTTTCTGATCGTTAAAATGGACTAAGCATCCGAACTTTCTTTGCATTCAGCTACCTTTCTGCATCTAAGCACGAAATTGCCCATTTCAACACATGCACTAGCGATCGTTGTAGACAATTAATGTTTATTTTTTTCAATTCCCACATTCCCCGTAAGACAGGTACCTTTCGCCGTTCGTGTGTCTTTAGGGGCCTTCTTCCGATCGTTGCCGTTTTTCACTTTTGTTTACTCACGCCCTTTGATGACGCTGTCTGTTGGAAAAGTCAGCACGCTTTTTGAGGGATTTAAAAGAGCGTCCTACTTGGGTAAGTGATCCATAGAAGGTGCGCACCTGTCGTCTCCAACCGCCTTGTCAGGTGTTAATGTTCGTCTTCACTGTTTTCATTTTGTTACCTGATTGGTTGTCTTTCGTCGTCATCGATTATGACGTGGCTCGGGATTCAAGATTAAGCATCAAAGGTAAAAATGCCGCTCAGTACAGCCTTTTGATCATTTTCCCGCATACTGCTTTGCGTCAGAATGTTATTATCACGAAATCAGCCGCATCTTACTTCCACACAATCGTTAATTTTCTGATCACAAAATAACATCTTATATCCCAATCACCTATTTATCCAAATTCAGCCGAACGAATCCTGTGATTTCGGTGTCCAGAAAACAGAAGTAGCTGCACGAAAGTAGAGCAGGAACGTCCAAAAATGTTTCGAATTACTGGTGGTATGACCCCTCTACTAGAAATAATACCGTTTCCATATACATTCTAAATTGTCAGTTGTTTTATCAAACGGTTTTTAACCGTCAGAAGTGTCGATTCTGTTATGCGTCCAGTCGAAATCTATCTAAACGAACGACTAAAACTTTAGTCGTTCTGTTGGACCTGGTCATTCTCTGTTCATAGAGATTAACCCACAAACCCCGCCGAGTCTGCTGCTTATCCGTGTGAAACCGAATTACCACATCAGCGGCAATTCTAAACAGCAAAATTCCTTTATTTGAAGAGAAAAACTAAATCTATTCGAAAAAACGTCTGAATTCTGTGGCTGTTTAAAGGACCCCCGTTAGTTGAAATAAGCAGTTATGTCCAAGTTCCAGTAAAACAAGAACTTCAAGTTAGGGCGTCCATTTTTTTCTGTCAACCATGGTATAAACTTACCATAAGGTGCTCTAATTTGGCGCGTATAAACGAAACACCACAATCAACACTCAGATTATCGGTATGTGGAACACTATGAAGATTATCGTTTTGCTGCGAAATTTATCCAATTACTGAAAGCTTGAATTAATAAAGACCCAGTTTATTCAATACCGCGATTAAAGGGGTATTAAAAGTTTGAGCAGATGCCTTCTCTTTGTCCTGATTGGGTAAAAACTTCACACAAACTCTAGCCAATCACTACTGGCAAACATGATTGGCTAGTTTCATGAGAAAGTAATTTAAACGACATATGGCCGATGCTGGATCGGAAAAATTGTTTATCATAAGTGGGTTAAAGCAACTGGGTTATTTGGTCAATTCTTGGACGTTCTATTGCCTTAAGCCAAGCAAGTCTGTAATTACCTTCACTAAAACACGAGTGCGTTGTTATCATTAAAATGTATTTATCGCATCGATATTTATTGTCATTTAAACTGCTTGCATTTTTTCCAGAAATGTTGATCATTTAAAAGTCGCCAGTGAACAGGATGCACAATTCGTCACCAAGGACCTCCAAACTACGAGAGATCTTTCGATCACAGTCCTTGCAAAGACGCAGACGATTAAAAAAGAGCAAAGAACCGACTCCCGAAGTTATTCCTTCCTTTGACATTACATTTCCCAGTGTGCCTACGGTCTGTGTAGAATACGATTCTGAGGGTGACGAAGGAGTACTATATCATGTCCGAAGTTTCAAGAGAACAGCTAAAGGTGTTATCAGTTTGGTAAGCCACAACTTATTAAAGATTGCGAAAACTAATGAGGGTATTTCGTGTTCATTGCTTCTTATACTTTAACAAGCTCAACTGATCGTGCAACAGACGCTTTTCGTGAAAGTTCCTTAAAGCGGTCATTAGCCCCAGTTTTAAAGAGTTGAACATATTTGGACACCAAAAATGCTTCAATTAGGTAAAGGAAATGCAGGAATAATGTAAGTAAGAGCAAAAGCTCTTCTTATTATTATTCTGGAAAAATGTTTTTGTAAACTGGAGGGAAAATAATGATATAACGAACAACTTTATTGTCACTAGACACTAACCGCACACTATGGATTTTTAACGAACTGTCCTCTGCTTGATCAAAAATAAAATTTGAATGCTTTTACCCAGGTAATCTAAAGGACAGCAGTTTTTTGATTAATGATCAAACAGCAATACAAATTTCGTCACTCTTGATGTCGAAACAAAACTTTTTGACGTCAATCTCCGTAAAGGTACAATTGTTCTTCACTTCGTGGAACTTTCCTTTTAAATATTCATGTCTAAGTCTGCAGCGTCTAGGGTGTAAAAAGCCGAATTACTTAGGACATACCGACTTTAACGTTCAATACAAATACGCTGGTACAGATTTTTATTTACTTCAATTTAGGAAGAAGAATCCGACACCGGGCATACTAGGGGACCCAATCCCTCGATCGCTTTTTATAACCCACCTGCAGATAATTCCGTAAATGGCCGTTTTGATTCTTGGAAAAATGCATGTTGCGGATGGGCAATGGGGTTTACGTCGGCCTGGTAGCCAGTGGGAGCAGTTCAATAAAATGAACGTTGTGCGTGTAATTATGAAAATTTAAATACTTGCACGCCATAAGCATTGCTGGGTCTTCACGTCAAAGCACTTGTTTCAAAAACGGCATTTCGTCCGGTTGTCTGAAATAATTCGATTGACTTATTTTATGCTCAAAGGCAACATTGTACTGACAAAACCTTTATTCACAGATATTTAGGCAGATTTGAATATCCATGAATTCGTGAGCCTGGTGGCCATTTGGTGGATTCCAGGTGAATTACTTAGGAAGTCCTGTTTGGGCAGTCAAATTACTGCATCAGATTTGATGGATTTCAGACGTTGCAGTAGGTTGGGCGGGTAACTTGACCCAAATGTGATAAAACTCGCGTCGTCCGTCGGGGCCTCGTAGTTCAAGTGGTTAGAGCGTTGGCGGTACTAAAGACTTCCTCTTACTGCGCGAGTTCAAATCGCACCGAGGCGCCGAGGTTTTCACAGTTGGGTCAATATGAAAACTGTTATTCTTGGATGGAACACATTAACTTCAAAATGTACTTCAGTCACGTTTTACTGCTTGTGGCCTCAAATGACAGCGGACAACAGTTTAAAAGTAATTTTTCTAATCGACAGATTACCATAGTTTTTGATAAAATGCCAGTGTACATCAACCATGAGTAAGGGAGAGGTTGAAGTTAGCTATTCAAACATAAGGGCACTTTGCATTTTTACAATGAAGTGAAAGTGGGCATCGTTACTGGTTCTACTAGCTCTCAGCTTATAGATGTAAGTGTGCACAGTGTGTTTCGGCATCAACTTCAACATAAGTATCTATAAAGAATCGTTTACAAGTTTCTTAGTTGTTTCTGAAACTAATTTTGTGTAGACCGTTAAGGGGAAATAATAAAATGGTCATGGTTTACTTAATAACATCATATTTTACTTTGAACCAACCGTGAAAAACTCGGTGCCTCGGTAGGATTCGAACTCGCGACAGCAGGTGGAGGCTTTAGTACAGCCAAGGCTCTAACCACTTGAGCTACAAGTCCCCACCGCATGAAGCGAGTGAGAACCGTTCTGTTTGCATAAGGAAAGTGCACATGAAATTGATTAGTTGATTCTTCACTCTGTATATTTTGTGAGAAAGCCGCGTAATTTTTATAAATAGTAAATCAGACGAACTAGTATTTCGGAAATTTTACAGTACTCGCTGACAATTTGCCAAGATCGGTGTAATGTCAAAGTGCTAGTGCTGGTTACAATTTCTGATTAAATTATATCACAACTTTGCAGTCCTTTCGCTGGGCACAGAGAATTTAAACACAATATAAGGACATTACAAGAGTGACTCTTCACTTTGTTCATTCCACATAGGCAATTTCATGCATATCAGGCGATGCCATAGACGTTCGCTCTGCTACTTTTTACTCAGCAATACTAAGCCCTGAGCCAAACGTTTACTGATGAACAACGTTTCGGGGCTTCTTTTGAGTTTTGTCAGCCTTGTCAAGTTACGAGCATGCAAAGTTACAATTCCTATCCTCTATAAAAGCATGCGCAGTGTCAGTAACTAGCATAAGAAATACAGTTTTAAGCCGATCATTGTGGGACAAGGTTCTCATCGAAAATATTTCGTTTCAATAGATTTTTACTACTGAACAACTGGCAGAGGGTGGTGGATAAGTATTACCTATTTGCCGGGATGACCTAGCAACGAAAATATTTTGTGCCAAATAACTAAAAGTATCCCAAAAATTATCAAAAAAATTGCTTTTTTCCCATAGAGGACCATCTGCGTTTGTCAAAAACGCAAACGCACTGCTGTTGGGGCCATTATTTGGGTAGGTTATCGAACCCTCATAAAAACCAACACGCAACGCAGACATCAATGCACAAACGTTTCTCAATGCTTTATAGTCAACTGCCTAAAAGGCAAAGATACCCGCTATTTGGCTGGGAAAATGCCACATCTTATTTGTTAATAATCTGCATATTTTCGTTGTCCATCAAGAGATTAACATAAAATTGCGTTACATATCTTAAGTAAAGTAAACTAAAGCAGTATATAAAACGCTCAACTCTGGGCCGATGAGTTATGCAAAGGCTGCAAACCTTCATGACTAGACTAGAGTTTTCACAATGTTATGAGCTAAATGATTCCTTAACTTGAAGTATTTAGCGCCCGCCCCGAGTGTTTTGTCATTAAAACAATTAGTAGACTATCTGCTCTGCATTCACTTGGCAGTAGGGCGAAAAGGTATGCAAATGGGTGCTTTTATTTCCATATTCCGACGATCCCTATTAGCATTACTTTAAATGCAATTGAATTATCAATTTTTACATGTACCAGCACTGAAAAATGCAAAAGCACTCACCTTTAAAATATATTTATAGCAAATACTGTATTTAAAATGTTTTTGTTTTCGATTGCATCTTCTAAGGCCTCCACTAAAACCTTAGTTATCGGTAATATCTGAAAGAGTGTAAGCATTTATAATGTAATGTCAAAATCGAAGTCTTCATTTTTGTGTTATGGTAAGTTCGATCCTTTGCCGAAAGTTAACCTGGGACGTGTGGATTAATATGTATGTGGGTTCCGCTTTCACATTAATGTAGAATTCATAACTGTCAGCGTCTTATATGCGCGTAAAGAGGTGTTTCGTAGAACTCAAAATAGTGACAGTCTAGCGCTACACTGAATCGTCTAATTTACTAACAATGTGAATGTCAACTTAATCGAAAATATTCCGAGGGCTCGCAGCTTGTGTAGCACCGGATCGTAATTGAAAGGTAATAGAGTTAATTAGAAGATTAGTGGTCTAGATAAAATATTTCTTTTTCGCTAATTGGCCATATTCACCAACCCAATTGCCCATATTGATTGGTATAAAATTTAAAGGGCACTCTAATGGTGTCCCACTAATAGAGCAAATGCTGTCTGCAATCCTCAAATATGTCTTGCCAACTTACAAAATGCGTAAGTCTGGCTGATAACCGGACAACTCCTAACAGGCAGCTCTTGCCAGATGTGATGTCCGACGAACAGTTGTAGTGGTTAACTGTCTTGGTGTCATCAGCAAAAATCTTTGTCCCTCGTAAGGTGTCTGTTAAAGAAAGTACTGCCAGTCCGATTAAATTCTAGTGAATTAGACGTTCTCACCTGTGGTTTGGCTTCCAATATTATGCCTGATTTACCAAACCTGCATTAAAATACTCAAACTTCACACATGTTTAAAAGATATCAAACTCTAGCACAATACTCGTAATTCTGTTAAACGCAGTCGATCGAACTGTCGGAAAACTTTCTATGGAGTTAGATTCACTAATTAAGGAGGACTCCGCGTTGGTTATTGTCTGAAAGCGAAGGGCTCGGTTGGTCGAGCCACAAGGGCACTTTGACGATGCGGCAAAACAATGGTTCTTAACAGACACGAAAAATGTTTCATTCTCTTCAAATATCTGAAAGAGTGAACACGGTTTTTGACGTTCTGCTAGTCAGAAGTTATTATTTTTAACATTTTTAAAAGCATCATATGCTTGTATTCATGGCCATTAACATTGCGGTTGCGGACTTTTAAAAGTTACTTGAATCCATATTGTGTCTTTTTTTATTCTTATGGATGCCATTCTCCAGGGGCAGCACATTCGCCCACTGATCTAACATCAAAGCATAATATGAGTATTCCTATGCTACAGAAAGTGCAGGTTTGAGAGAAATCAACTAAAACCGCACCAGATAAATAAATGAGCGAATTCGAAACTCATTGACCGCCGGAAGAAAGTTCACGAAACTCATTCGTTTTATGGGGTAATCTCATGCTGGCAACATAGGCCTCATTGCTCTGAGCGCCTTTCACCTGCGTGCAAACGTCTAAATCCCCAACAAAAAGTGTAATTTTGCTGAGGATTAGAAGTCAAAAACACCGGACAATTATTTGCATCCCAAAGGTACACTGAAACGCCCCAGAAAACGAGATTTTATTGACGGCACCATTCGTAATCATTAGAGTTTATCATTAGTACATTCACTTTAATATACGCGCAGATAGAGTATTAGCGACGTTATTGAGGTACATGTGTTGGTAATTTTTAATGGTTAAGTGACTCTCATTCTGTAATCCCTAAACAATAAATGGCGAGATCTAATTTCCTAGTCGCACTTGTTGGGGATTAGGAGTCAGGAGTTAGGGTTCAGGGTTAGAGGTTAGGTAGGGGCTCGTCTACTGCAGGTACGGCTACGAAATAGGATCCGACCCAATAAATGTTCTTCTTATTCACATCGGACATCCCATGTGAAACTTGGCTCTACCATATACTTCACGCCATTTTCAGGGAGACACTTATCGTGCACGAAGCACTTCAAACTGCGCGTATCAGTATCTGCCCAACTCACCAGCGGACTACAGCGTTGAACTTTTCTCTACCTCTCAAACTCCGGAACTTAGTGCCTTTGCCTCACCGCAGAAGGCAGCATGCAATTCATTTGCGATTCATCCTGCCTTCAGTGAGACCATCTTGCAACTGCCAGAACAACAGCCGTCCACGTCGTCGAAGACGGACGACAGACGTGCGACTGACTGTCTCCTACCAGTCCACAAACTCGCCTTACCGCGTCCTTCGGCACCAGGTGTTATAACACCGACGTATGCAGCTTCACGCGCACCATCGCCTCCAGTTAAGGTGCAAATTCTGGGCGGACCAACAGTGGGAAAGACCACATTGTGCAGGCAATTTCTCACCTCGGAATTTATGGGGGCGAAAACCGAATCATGTGGGTGCAGACTCCTGCCTGTTTGCATAGTCATGTACATTTTTACTGCTTATTTGAGGAAAGTAGATTAGGTAAAGACAGTGTCTTTCAATAAACTAGCACACTGTAATCATAGTTAGAACGCCAAAACCAACTACATTCTCCGCTGCACTGCGAGGTGAGTGCACTGGTGACGAGGGTAAATTCATTTGCATTGAAACATGCCCATTCTGCGCATACAGTTTATTCTTTTCCTGCCCGTATGGAGTTCCGACGAGACGGCCAACGGAAGACAGCTGACAGGGAGTGCAGATGCAACACATACCAGATAAACCTGGCCCTTTATTTCAAGTAACGAACTTCAAAAATGGGTCTTTGATACCGCACCGGTGAAAGTGTGTCTGGATATAAGGTAGTCGTCCAGCAGCAAACGTGGACTTGTCGCTCTATTTACGAAGCCTATTGCAAGTATATAGTGAGGCTCCTAGGTAGTGACTCCATCCTGGATCGATTTCACTTTCTTATCCCTCTTCCGGATGGCAGTGGCCTGTTCAATAGTAACTCACTAGGAATGAGACTGAGCACAATATGCTCTTCAACTTGCTACGATTGCCTAATGCATGCCTCATAAGAATATGAGTTTCTTGCGAGTAAACTGAACCCCAAGGGATATATAAGGTGGAAACCGAGTTATGCCGTCGCCTGACAAACTTCCACGCTATGAGTTAGAACGTGTCATGCAAAGTTCAGTTATTTCATCATTATCCAGTAGATGGGTGTGACGAGTTTTTGTATAAGAGGGGGTACCTAAGCGTCGGTCTTTCTCGTTTTATTCCATCTCCCTTATATTATTTTCTTACCCTCGTCTTTGACGGCGAGATTATAGTAGCCATCCATCGCGGGGCACACTCATGTGTGACAGCGATCGGGACCAGGGCGGACCAGGTCCTACCCTACTAATGCGTGTCGTAAGTCTATGTTGTCTCCCATCCAGTCTAAAGCAACATCTGTGTAGTTCGTTTGGGGTAATTTTTGTGATTACTGGAACATATGAACGACAGCTGCTACCAGGGCGGTGGAGGCCGTGGACATATTATTTCATACCTTTCGGAAGTGATCTGATGACAAAAAGAGGCTAGGGTAGCAAGCGCCTTTAGTAATTATTTGAGCTCACGAGTCGCTGGTGTGGTGTGACAGCTGATTTGGAAACAAGACAAAAGCAGGCAGTGGAAAGCAAAATGACAGTTTCGACAGTTTTGTCCTTTTTTATCTAGAGACGTTCATCTCCAGACCATAGAAATGAGAAATGAACGGAAATTTGAGATTCGTAGAGCACATAAGCACGGTCTATTGCGTGCAGTAGAATAGGGAGTCATATGGTTCCAAAAAACCTACTTGCATTTATATGAGAGTGTCCTTTTCCATCTTCTGTAATGATGATCATTTTGCACGTCACGATGAATAAGCTGAACCTGAGGTAATAACGGAACTCCCGAAAAATTCGAATGTTTCTAAGGCGGGCTCCAGATACTCATAACTATGTAAGATTTCACGTGGGAAATTCGACGGAAGCAAAGTATCGATGTCTGCTTTATAACGTTCTCAGCCGCTAAAAAAACGCTATTATCTAAGAGCCTTTTTGGATCTCAACAGACTCTTGGGTTAACTTGATCAAATGTATAAGGGAATTCTAAAAAATTATTTTTTTCCCCTTTTAAATGATAAACGGTCCTTTTCAAATTCTATGTTATGGAAAGAGAGGAATTCTTCATAATAGGGTTTTTGAATGTTATCCTTCTAAAAAAGCTAGTACTATTATTTGTCTGCTATATTATTGGCTAATGTTTTTGCTTTAGTCGGGGAAATACAGGGTAACCTATATCTAGTGCTGCATCCCATAATCAGTTGGACTTCTCCTCATGGGGATGTGTAAACTCATTAAATTTTTTAGGATAATTGTGTAAAACACGACTTAAAATCGTGCAAAAAATGAAAGAAGCAAAGTTCTTTAAATACTTGGTTTCTGATCGAGATGAAAAGATAGAAACATGTTTTTTTTTCGAATGCAGTGTTTCATGAGAAAGTGCTCACAAGAGACACAGACAATGTCCTTTCTTGCTTATTGGCAGTTGCCAGTCAACCGAAGTCTGGACTTACACCGAATGAACATGAGCTCGCTAGTTATTGGACGTTAATCAAACGCTGTGGTATCAAACTTTTGTGGGCCGGATTTTCCAAAAAAGAAGCAGAATGGGTAAAACGTTCGTACCGATTGCAAAGCACATTCTGATGCATGCGTCTCAAAACTCAGCAAAAAATATATGCTGCGCAATTTCGTATATTTGCGAAGATAGTTCTTTGGGTGACCATAAATATTGCCAATGAGGTCCTGACATCCTTGAATTTATTAACGCAATTGTTTTGTTTCACAACAGCTTGCACTGTACAGTCCAGTGATATTAGAACTTCTACATTTGACAATGAGGGCGCAGCAGGCGATAGGCAACTCAGAATGGATGCAACTACCCTAGTTTTAGCGACTCTTTGGTTCCTGTAGTTGGTGACGTGTTCGGATATTTCGAAATATGAAGAAACATTGGAAACCATTCCACGGAAATTGGCTTGTCAATTTCGTTAGGTATATGTTTGTCTGCCTCCCAGTTACGGCTTTATGTTTTGTCCATCTGATAGTTAGTTATACCTCAGTTACCCTTTTAGCAAGTTGATGACCACTGTTGGAACCTGTGCTGTGTTAGTAGTCATTGTAAGCAATATTTTTGCAACTTGGTAATTCATAGATGCTTTGGCAGATTCAGAATAAATCGTACTGACCCAATTGGGAAAAACTCGGCGCCTTGATGGGATTCGAACCAACGTAGTAAGGGGAAGGCTTAAGTACCAGCCAACGCTCTAGCCACTTGAGCTACAAGTCTCCGCCAAAATATCTATGAATCACGTGAGCCTGTTAGTTATCTGGTGGATTCTAATTGAATTACTTAGGAAATCCTGCCAGGGCAGTCAAATTACTGTATCAGCTTTGGTGGATTCCAGACGTTGCAGTAGGTTGGGCGGGTAACTTGACCCAAATGTGATTAAACTCGCGTCGTCCGGCGAGGCCTCGTAGCTAAAGTGGTTAGAGCGTTGGCTGTACTAAAGCCTTCCCCTTGCTGCGCGGGTTCGAATCCCACCAAAGCGCCGAGTTTTTCATAGTTGGGTCAATATGAACCTAACAATTGATCTTTTGCGCGACGGGAACACCCATGATGGACAAGGTCTCTGGCTCTGGTTATTAAGTATTAATTTAGATGATATTAAACAAATCACCACAGGTTTTCAACGCACGTTCTTCTGTTAAATGAATTGTTTGTCTAAATACTAGCGCCGTTATGCAGATTCTTCATGTTTGAAAGTTTACGATCTCATGTTTGTTAGGAGATCGAAAAATAGGATTTCATCAGGGCTCACTTAATGCACACGAAAGGTGAGCAGCCGAACATGAAAAACTGTCTTAAGCATTTTCTTTGGAAGTCGGCGAAACGTTTAAAGGCCAGTATTATTAGTTTTACGAATTAGGTTAATGAAAATCCCCGGCCACTTCTTCACATGGCCGTTTTTAAGCAAGAATCCCCGCTGAACAACGCGCTTCGAGAGCGAAAGTCAACGTAATTGATTTTGCACAATCTCGGATCATTCGTCGGCCGTCCTGAAGTACTGTGTGTCTCGCCGTCTCTGTGTTGACCGGAGGTTTGTATGAAACACACTTTGGCAGCATATTGTTATCGAGACAATGTGTAGAAATCGAATCTGCGCATATTTAGACGACTCTCGACTCCTTCGACACCTTGGTATTAACTGTGATTCCAGAGTAAGCCCGGTGATTTAGTACTCCATTATCGTTTTCTAAGCTGCAGAAAATATGCATTAGACACTGCGTTATGAATCTTGTTGCATTTGGGCTTTAATTTGACCAACTAATTGTATAAGAAGATTGAATTTTTTAACTTCCTAACCTGTATATGTTTATACATTATTATTAATCCGTTTGCTTGTAGTGTTTAATAAACCCTCATATTTATAATAACGGTTAGGATACATGTGAGTTAACTTGTAGAATCGTATTAACCAGGATCTTTTCGTTTACTCAGAACACATAAATGCAAGGCCGTTAATTTACTCATGCGTTATATGCCAAATGCAACACTTCAAACATATTTAGAGAACTGCTCACATGAAATTCAAATTTTTGCTGCTTCTTAATGAGACCTTGATCCTGACATTAATAATTCGAAAGTTACCCGGCCTGTTTAGATGGATGCTTAATATTGCAATGTTTTGAAATTTCATTTCGGAGGACTTCCTGTATTTTCTGAAAGGTCCTCAAAACATATGTTTCGGTCGAAAAATGAACAAAAGCGTATGTTAGGATTCCTGAGGGATTTTGCCGGATAAAAGTTTGTTTCACAGATTTCAAGATAATAAACAGTCGAGAAAGAATGAATTTATTACTTTTAAAGAGCTATTCCAAAACTATATATAAATGCGCAGCCTGGTAACGGGAAGTATGCAACGGTTTTTTTAACAACACGAGTGTTCTTCTGTGAAATAAAAAGTGTATTTCGGACTGGTAGAAGAACTTTGGATATTTGATTCTTCCCATGGATGTTTTTGTCTTCGGCTCCAAAGCGCATGCAAATATTTGGCTAAGGCCTTATTTGATTTTAACTGCCAAATGCTCAAGGTTCATCATCAAGAACCAATGCAGTCTGTATACACGAAGCATCGTTTTACGCAACATCTAAGGCCCGGAGGACACTTCGCCAGTTTTCCTCCAATTCAAGATACAGATGCCAAAGTTTAGTGCACCAATCTCCTCTCAATGTTTCCATTGAGATTTCTAACACTGCTTTCAGTTTTATGGTAGATAAATTAAAACCACCAACTTGGAAGTAGTCTTCGGGACACTTGCTGTTCTTTGAACTCAAGTCGTAACATAGGTTTCCAAGCCCATCAAACACTTTGTGTCAAGCCCATCCAATGCAATTAACTGAAAGCATTACTGAAAACTGTGAGAGCAAGGTGTAAGCTTTTGCATTTGCGTTACACAGCCTGTAAAATGTCGATTAACCGTGCTTTTGCGTTTCCGACCGGCGCCTGCGCCGGAGTGAGATAACATAACTTTTTAATTTGTGTCAAATTATTTACTTGATTCTTTGGTAGCTGGGCCTTTAGATCGTACCTCTGAACCACATTTTGAATGTCCTTTAGAAACCGAGTTTGTACTATGCCAGTATAATTTTAGCAGACGCTCCTCATAATATGGGTTTCCTAAACAATCCGAGTCCTCTTCTGATCATATGCATAACTAAAACGATCCTAGACATTTGAGGCGGAGTTCATGGAAAATGTCTGAGTAACATTTGCAAAAACTAATAACGAATTTGTTTGCGGCGGTCACCTTTAACCCGTAACATAGGCTGCAAACCAAAAAGTGGCAACATTTAAACTCTTACAAGCAACGCTAAAACGACTGTTTGGCGGACGTTAATATTTTACGAACGTCTGTACGAGCAAGTCTCATGTGCGATCAATATATTGTTATTGTGTGGATGATTTGGAAAGTAGGTAAAGTTTGGAGTAGACCGGTGTATAATGCATATTTTGCATGTCTTGACGAACTTCACGAATCAGTTGTATGAATAGTTTTGAGCACTTTCCCTGTGTTTTTACTACTTGCAAAATAACCCGTCGTGTACAATGACCAAAAGATTCCGTCCTTCAGGTAAATGCCTATGATTTAAGCCAGAGGGGATAAACATCATCGTTTTTCTAACTACTCGAAACCGACATGACACATTGCTGTGGCTGTGAATATATGCCGATCTTACCAATAAAGAATCCACTGCAGTTCATAAATATGAATGCTCCTCTTACGCAAATCAGACTAAATTCTATGCTTGTGCCCGGTAGAGCAATTCTAAGATTCCCCTAAAAGAAGACAACGAGGTAATTCAGAAGGCATTTCAGTCCGATAATATTTTTAAAGAACACAATTTCTGTGTAAGAAACTAAATGAAATTCCGAAAAATACTGCATCCTAGAATATATAAATATATAACATCCTTGGATAAGATGAGTCATTTATACTAAATGAAGCGTCCCCTACCATTGTATATTCCTGATCGAAAACCGACAGGGCAACGGGCTCGTGGCGCAGTGGTTAGAGGCGTGGACTTCTAACTAACAGGTCGCGAGTTCGAGGCTCGGGTGTTCCACATTTCGGGCTTGGGTATGAATGGCTGGCGACGGCCAATAAGCTAGAAATGGCTAGTCCAGTCACCCTTATCTTTGTCGGTAATACCATTCTGCCTAAATGAAGTTTTTTCTAAAATAGTTATGACTTTAGTTAAACTAAATGAACAGTGTGGTGTCTGCAGTATCATAGAATTTCCAACTATTCTTTAAGTTGTGTGGCTAGTCGAATAACCAAAAAACCGAAATTTAACACGGGCCTGCAGCAACCTGTAGAAAATGCCAGGCTTAATAAAGATAGAAGGATTGGAAAGTTTACCACTACAAAATTGACTGGCTTGACACAGATGTTTGAAAGGCCGATGGCCTAGTTGCTTTTACAGTATGTGGGCTAACTCATGAAATGCCAGCCAAAATTCCGGAAATGCGTTTTCGTTTCAAAAAGATTAGTTAAGCAGGGTTGTAAAACCAATCATCATGCAGCATCATTCTATAATAATTCACTTACACTAAGATGACGGCTGTCGAACAGACCGCTGTCCGGCCGCGTGCACAAACTAAACTCTGTAAAAAGTGAGTGCTTAAGTAATATGCATTTTTCTCAGTGATTTTCGATGCCTTTAAAAAATCGATTATATTTTATTGGAAACATGCATAAAATAATTTATTCTTCTGCACATACGGTAGACAATTACGTTTTTTTCCAATTTTATACTCAAAGCAGGGATAAAATTTGGTTTTAACAGTTTCTAATTGTGAGATTTTTAATTCCGTGAAATGGCCGTTCATAGAACTCAAGTCTCTGCATTTACCAGTGTGGTTTGTAAAGTTAACAATGTGGCTCAAATCCACTTCCGGATTTTGTGAACTCCATATGGTCTCCTCTTAATACCGTGGAGAAATTTCTGGTTTTCCGCACGCGGAAAATATGCGGCCTGTAGGTTGGAGACTCTAACTGCAAGTGTAACTGCAGGTCGGGTTCAAAATTGTTCGGGAATTAGAAAAGTTCTTGAAAACCAAATTATATCCATCCTTCAAGTATAAAATTGGAAGAAGACGTAATTTCCTACCGAATGAGCGAAGAATGAATACTTTCACGCATGTTTTCCGTAAAATATAATTGAACTTTCAAGGGCATCGAAAATCTATGAGAAAAATCCATGCTACTTGAGTAATCGTTGTTTACAACGCATAGCTTTTGAATGCAGCCGTATAGAAGTTCGATCGAAAGCCGGTATCCTGAGGTAATCGAATTATTATAGAATTATGCTGCGGGGCGATTAGTTCTACACCCCTTATTAATTAATCTTTTTGGAACAAAAACGCATTTTGAAATTGCGGCTGACATTTAATGAGTTAGCCCACCTACTGTAGTACTGTGTTGCATTACCAAGTATATTTGGCTGTTTTTCTGTTATAAAATCGAAATAATACGACATTTATCATGCAAGGGAATTGGCTACTTATGTATGCTTCTCCTAGATTCCGATGTTCGGTAGGTAATAATATACTTTTGCATAATTAGATCCATGTTTACCAGTTAAAAGGACTTTCTGGGTGTAATTCCTAAAAGCAGACGTTATTTTAAATATAGACGATACTAGATAAAATTGCCTCGGGCACTTTTTAAGCGAAGCAAAAGACAAAAACTATTTAAAATTGGTAACGGATCAAATTTGGCCAGGTAAGGGAATCTCATAGCTCAGCCCGTACCCTAAACTATTTTGTGAACACCTTGCTGTAAGTAGACTAGAATGCATTCATGCAATGGAAAATTTCCTTTCCACTTTCCGTCACACGAGTTGAGGTCTGCGTGATCAAATTTGCTTGAAATGGAACAGCTGATTAAGCAACGGAGAAAACGCCGTAATTGCAAGCGTTCAGTCTATTTAAAATGCAGCTAAAATGCTTTTCTCCCAGGTTCGGCCCACTTAATAAAGTAGTTTTCATAATTAGAATTTACACAGTTCATTTTTTTGAGAACCGTCTATTTATTGTCATTTAGACAAAATAATAGAGTAACCTCTCGAAAGCATCTGTTTACCGCGTTTTTATTGATATATACTTCATACAAAATATTGGTTTGAATTAGCAATCCTCTTTAAAAATTTAACTGAAACTACCGCCTACATCTACTTTAATAACTGTTCTAGGTTTTGGAGAATAAAATGAAATACTTTTAGGCATATTTGGCATTTTGTTGTGTTTTTGAGATAAGCCTTTCGTACAAATAGAAGGTCAGATATTGTTGCTGTGACACGACTGTTGGGTATGTGACATAGTCTAAATATGTCCAAAAGCACAGGCAAATAAAACGTGTCAAAATTTTACAATTTCACGCACTATTCCCTTGTGTTTACAAAATATTTTTGAAACCAAACGATCATGCAAACATTAAATAGAGAGATGGAGGAAAATTACGAAAACATCACTTTATTTTGATGCGCATAAGGGCTCTATAAGGCGTTCGGGGTAAAAGACGACCAAAATAACACCATTTGCGGACACGCGCCTTTCTAGTGTTTCACAATTTCTGTCACGTGCGTCTCAGATCAAAGTCACGTCCAACGAATCTGATAGCAAGGGCGCAACGCTAGGTATTCTCCGTTCAGTTCGATATGCTAACTCATGGATGTGTTGTCGCGCATTCGGTCCTCAATTGACACTGATTCATGTAAGTTATATATCCCTACCATTATTTCTGTGTCGCTGATGTTGAATTCATCTGTTTCTCAACTGCAAGCAGTTAACTGAGGCAGTGACTCTTCTTTCTACATACTTATCTCTTGCTAGGACATTGATGATTTTAGCCTTCCGGCGGGCAGATCTGCTCACATTCATAGGATACCTGCGCCGTATGATCCGAGAAAGACATCAGATTTTCAGATGCCTGTAGTCGGTCGCTGATGCACGTATCTCTTTTGCCAACAGAAAAATTTGCATGATGAACGTACCCAAGCCAGACCTTTCAACGGTTCGTTTTAATACAAGGCTTAGAATGCTGTAGCTGTGATACACCTTTTTGACCTTCGAGCTTCAGTATAGAGACATTGGCCTATGCATAGCTTCCGCTGCACCGTTGTTCTTGTTCCAGCGCTTGCACCTCCAGGTCAGTAGTGCTCCTGGTCCTGTGGAATTGAACATAAATTAGCATTCTTAGCCAGCTGATGATCTAAATACTATCTCCTACTGGGCTTCTGACAACCTTACATTTCCAAGCCGATTGTGCTACATAGCCTTTTAATCACAATAGCAACGCGGAGAGGTTAGTTATGTTCGTTTTTTCCTTTCGTCTGAATTAATTGCCCTAGATGTTTGTCTTTACGCGAGAAATTAGTTGCATGCTTTTCTTTACCATGACAAACACTCCTTCGCGTTTGGACATGGCGCGCGGATTAACAGCGAATAACAGTACCGTTATTATTTGTTTTAAGATTAGTTATGCATACTTTCAGGTACGCTGATGCACTTGACTGTTCAGGAGCCTGAATAATCCCACGTATGATAAATCGAAATCAATCATTTTTACTATGTAATGGGATGCTCCTAAGATTTGACCACGCTCATTACCTACCATGAGCTATTTAGTGCCGTCAGATGCAACCATGGAAGCAGTTTTAATTTGCGAATAGCAAGAAAAAACACATCGGTCTCTGGCGATGCTTTCAACAGTGATCGGAAAATTCTTCCCAAGTTTAAGTGCTTTTCTTCACAGTTAATACCTGGAACTCATCTTTCGCATGCATCAGTGTTTACTAAATGTTTTTCCGAAGACGATAAAGGATGGTAAAATGGCTAATTCTGGCACAGCTTTGTTATGGTCAGCCAGTAAATCATGGGCGAAAGCATGGATCATGGATCATGCGAATCAGCCTACATGTTTTGCTCCTACACCAAAACTTTAGATTTACCGAAAACATTACGACGATAACTGCCGGTTTGACTATTTTTCAGGCGTTTTTAACATCTTAAAACTCTAATAAGATGATTACAGATGGTTTTGATGGTATCTTATTCTACCTTATGCGGCATATTTAGCATTTTTTGCTTTAGGTAATATAGAGGCCTTATTTTCTCTGGCACTTCTAATGATTCCCTCTAATGTTCTCGCATTACAATGTTTGACTTATTTTGGAAATGTTTCTTGTATAATTTTGCTTTTAAAAGAGTCCAAGGAATCTCTTAATGCCACTATAAAACATGGAAATGATATTTTAGATACATTACCGCGTTTTATCAATGTCAGTCATTTTTCCCTGCACCTTTAGTCTCGGAAGACAACGTTGAGCGCTTCGTCACCATTGAAGTTGATGGTTGGAACAGGAGTCTCATACTTATTGACAATGTGCGCGAAGATGCCCATACGGAAACTCCAACCCCTCATACAGCTACTGTTGTAAATACTCGCCTCTCTACCGGGCCCTTATCATCCGTCTCGCGAGAATTTCTCGAAAATGAACTTGCTGGTCTCCAACGCCAACGTGCCCATTCAGCACATTTGCCTGTTTCTCAACCTGCCGACTGGAGACCGAGAGATTCTGTCCCTCTGATATCTAATTACTCCGCCATCGAGGTAATTTTTAGTGACAACTTTGGTCTTATCAATAATCGCACAGCATTTGGCGTATCTCATTAGCTGTTAACCGGAATTATGAAATGCGTTTTCGACTAGGAAGTATTACTTGCTAAGATTGAAAAGACTGATCACCGTGCAGCATAATCCTCAGATATTTTAGCCACATGAAATTGCCGTTTTATATACGCACTTTTTCTCTTCCGCTCTCAAAAGTGCGTCCAGTATAAAATGACCATTTCTTCAATATGGAATTTGCTCATTGATAAGCGACGATCTAATAAATTCAACTATCTTTTGCAAAAAACGTAATCAAAAATACCCTCTGTTGCACTCAGTACATGGGAATTTGCATTTCCAAATTTTATACTTAAAGGAGTGCCCTTCCGTTTAAAAACATTTGCAATAAAGAGAGTTATTGAGATCATGGAATATCCTTTCGTATAGCTTCTTACCTGTCCGCTTATCAAGGCTGTTCATGAAGTGTCGAACAGCATTCACATCGACCGTAAAACTTTGTAAATATTTTCTTAAAGCATTAAAATAGAACATGTAAGTTGTCGCCAAACAAGTAGAGAAAAAACATTTTCTGAAAAATGTGTTTGAATTCATAACAATATCGAAAGTTAGTGAGAAAAAACTTACTGTATAAGTAGTCCTTTTTTCTACTAACTGTGGCTCTTGTGAGCAGCCATAGAGAAGCTTGGTCAAAATCCAGCATCCTGACATGAATTAAATGCCTTGGGTTTATACTTTATGATAGTCAATATTACAACCCAGCCCAAACAATTCTTGCTTACGAAAAAGCATTTTATGAATAAGGTCAAAAGTTGTTCGCGGTGGAGTTGCAAATACTTAGAGAGGACAATCCAGTTTGTTAAAAAAAACTGAAGGATATGAGCAAGTTTTCTGGCTTTGACAGGTGTTTTTGTCCACACAAATGTGCAGCCCAGAGTTGTAAACGTCAGGAACAATCTTGAGGTATGCTGCAAGCAAAAAAACGGTAAGACCGGTTATAGTCCTAAAATGTGCTTAAAATTTATAATTACTATTTTTAAACCACCCCAACCAAAACCTTAAAATACGTGAATCGTTGATTCATTCGTTGGATTCATTACAACTACCGTATCCAGGTAAAAAATTGAATTCGATTAGAACAGCTTTCTGCTCTAGAAACTTAAATGGAAAAACAGTTTCTTGTTTAGAAAATTCACCAGAAGTTCTTTTTTTCTTCTTTTGGCATTTTAAACAAACGTTGTCGGCAAAATTGTGCTGGCGTTTTTAAATTAATTAAAAGCTTCTTAAGTGTTCGATGGTTCATGTATGCTTGAATATATTAGTAGAACTATGCGGCTGCTGGTTGGGCTCGAGAGGGAACCCTAAAGCACAACTGATTGAGTGAGTTCCGTAAAATCGATCGGCGGGTGCCACTTTACCATTGTATATTCTCGATCGTAATCAACAGGACAACGAGCCCGTGGCTTAGTGGATAGGAGCGGTAGGCTTTTAACCAACAGGTCGCAGGATTGAGTCTCAGGTGTTCCACACTTTGAAGTTTGGTGCGGCTGGCAGATGACAGCTAATAAGCCGGAAATCGCCATCCTGGTCTCCTCTGCCCTTGCCGGTAATGCTACTTTAGCTATACATGTATTTACACTTCAGCTTTTGTCATAGGGGACTATTCTCCTGAGAACGCTTTAGCCCTTTAAGCGTGCCCGGTATTTTCGACAAAATTCGATTATTCGCAATGTAAAACAATGCTACTTTTTAATACCTGTAGGTTGAAATGCCGATAATTGATGCCGACGTCTACATTATTGTCTATGCCGTGGATGACGACAACTCATTCAGAATAGCAAAAAACTTGGCCCAGAAGTTGAATTTGTCCAACAGGAATAACAAGTCGCGCTTACTCTACCTAGTTGGCAACAAGACAGATTTGGTACGGAAACGACAAGTATCGACACAACGTGGGTTTGGCTATCTTGGTTTTTACTAATTCATCCATTTTTCTGTTTGGTTTTTATTTTAGTTTAGAGATTTTGTGCACACATGGATCGTTAGTTAAGTGAGTCCAAAATATTCGAAGTTTTATTTTACTCGATAGGTCAGGGTTATAACTCTCAAACAAACGAAATAAATCAGGGCACCCGACGGAAAGGGAACGTTCCTTGATTGCAGGAATTTTCCATTTCTGTTCTACTTCTTTTAAAAATAATGCGGTTAGACATTACTGCGATAGCTATTATCGTACAGCCCAATACTAACTACTACCAGGTCATTTTGCCCACTGTTAAAGCACAATAATGCGAGCCTAATGTTCATTATAATTGACCAATTATCAAGTTAAAACTGACGAGTTTGTATTTAACTTTTCCCTTCCAAACTTATAAAGTATTTGACATATTGTCAAAACATGCCCAAATAATTTAAGGCAAAGTATAGTTGGGTCTTTTTAAACTTTGCCACAAATAACAGAGGGTCCCGAAGGCACTTTACTTGGACCGGAGTGTTTTTTGAAACAACTAAGTATGTTTTATTTGACGTCCTTAACCTCACGTTTAAAATTCCCAAGATGTCACATTTGGGGGCCGCCTGCATATTTTCAATATAAAGGGGGTCTTTTGGCCTTTTTGAGTAAATAAGCGGCTAAAAATTTAAAGCGATATTTTGAAGAGGATGACGCCTCTATTCTTTCCTCTTATCAGTCAAAATATAACCAATTACTGCCTTATGGAGTTAACCAACGTGCTCTCGTAAAAAAGTCTTTTAAAAGACACTTTTAGTCCAGCTGATGGTTGGCAAAGAATGGCATATGTTTTAAAACAAAACGTCATGAATACACCAACGGGATTTCCATTTAAGTGGACAGTCGTCCGTTTTGTTTTCCGTTTGAACAGTAATCAAGTTTTATGGCTTTCTAAAGATAGAAAGATAATGTTAAGTCACGCAAAGATTTGATGCTTTAAGACAAAGCGAGCTTTGGACTAAGTGAACAGTAGCGAAGACGACAATTAAGCTTCTTTCTGAACGAACTTTGTACTTTTTGACTTTTTTCTGCAACTGAGGTACCAAGACCAAGCATTAAAACTGTAGAAGTTAAGGAGTCCACATTTGCAATCAATATTTTATCATCAGAAGTCTCGAGTATGAAAGGAACCTATTCAACTTAGTTGAGGAGGCAAACTCCCCTGAACCTCTTGCAAGTTTTGAAAAGGTTAAATTCAATTAACCTGTCCTCCTACTGCAAGTTAGCATGTAGGTCAAAAAGTTTATATAAGCAAAATCCTAAATATTCTTTGAAGAGATAAGACTACGAAAGGATCAATCAGGAATGTAATATTGGATCGATACGTTCTCAAACGCTAGCCTACTATCTGGTCGGTTTTTTAGCCAGTAACTAGTTTTTTTGTTACGGCCAACGATAGGTCCATTAAATTGGGTTGACCAATCGGAAATTTACCTACTCAGGAAACTTCGCTGTTACAAACCAGCTCAACAATCCCATTAAGTTTGTTCAAACGGGATTCTTCTAGTTCCTGCAGCTTGTTGCGGTCCGTTTATTATGTATATAAGGAGTGAATTTTTTTGTCTTACGATGTGCAAACATTTACAATAGTATTTCAAGAAAGCATGCAGCAACATGTGGTTGTGTAGCCGCACCGGATAGACACAATACTGTTGACCTAATTTATTATTTTGAGTTGGTGTGGTCACGTTGGCATGGTGCTCCTGTGCGTTGCGGTGTGTGTTCTGTTGACGGCCTTGTTTCTATGTCGACATGTCCACCATTTTTGGCCCAATACCGGTGATCCTTCTTGACTTTCGGCCTGTCGTCTCCTTCTATGTTTCGCGTTGGATATTTCAAGGTTGGGTTTTGGGCTGCAGTTAAGGGCTATATTTGGGGTTAGGGTCAGAGTTAGGGTTGGGGTTGGGGTTAAAGGCAAGGGTTAGAGGTCAGGGTTAGGGGTCAGGGCTAGGGTTTAGTGCTAGGGGTTAGGGTCAGGGATTAAGGTTTGGGGTGACAGTAACTATTTTTCAACCACTCAAATTATAACCGCGCATTCCTTATAGCTTTTCTTTCGCATACAATTACTTGACCTCGTCGCCTGTGTGTTCCCCGGCCCCATCAGTAAAAACCCCTATTACCACCGGTCGTGTATCACAGGTGGCTGGGGCTTGTTTATCTCAGGTGCGGTTCCATAACCACATCTGAACAGCATGCTTTTTATGAGCTTTGAGGCGTTTCTAAAAAAGGAAACAGCGGCCACCTAAAGATATACATTTACTATAAACTATCAAGACCAGATAAGCGATGCCAGAAGAAACAGTCTCTTCAAACACTAAAATGCGCAAGAAACTTTGCGCTAAATATAATCGAAAATCCGAATTAAATGTGGAGTTATTTATTCCTTGTGAATGGCCTTTTTCAATTTACTAAATTGTAGTCCAGCAAAAGTCCCACGCCTCGATTTATGAATAAACCAACGGGTAGCACATAGGTAGCGCAATTACACTTAATTTGCACCTTCTGGTTACGATAAACGACTTAACTCATGAAATGTATGCGTAATCACGGTAAAATCTCAATTTCACTGGAAACTGGCCAAAATTCATTGATCAAATAAACGACCTCCAGGCGAATTAACAAATTAAAGATTTATTGAAAAGAAGATTAATTCGGTAAGAATTGGCAGTTTTCTTGAAAAAAGTAAAGTGACGCCAAGAGCTGAAACACCCGCTAAGCCAACTTCTTTGAATTTAACATAACCTGTCTATTAAAAAGTGGGCGATTAAAATACTTTTTGGTCGAAATTACTGACGTTTGCCAAAAGATTTTTGCGTTCCAGTCTAAATATCATTCACTGATTAGCGCAGAATAAGTATGGAAGGCAGTGACATTTTCAGTGCTCGACTATGTGTTCTAGAGTGGTCTTATGGGAATTCCGCGTAATTTTGCTGCCGTCGTTTCGTTTGTAGTGCTATTTACAAGACGATTCCGCTTAGTTTTGCGGATTTGGGTATAATTGGAAAAAAGACTTCACAAGACATTTGCCGGGTTGTCGGGCAGGGATTGAGAATTCTGAATACAATTATTAGATGTAATCATGAGCGCACCGCCGTTTACATATCAAGAGCAATTTATCCACAATAACACTGTAAGAGCTTTGACCACTGTTAAGTTCGCTGATTTGCATGGCATCCTTGAAATATCAGTAAATAACCTGCGGTTCTTGGTGTTTCCAAACAATCGCACAAAAATAGGTCTTATGGGTGGTTTCCAATAAAACCTGAAATCAAAAATCAGTTTTTGAAAGTTTTTAAGTATGCCATGTGTTTTCGGGCGATTTCTTACATAGTTTCCAGTTTGTGTCACGATTGCAGGCTCGCACCAACATAACACTTAATCGCGAACCAAGCTAACGTCTACAGCAAAGGCTCGCAGTGGGCATGTCCATGGTTACTTGGAAAACCTTCTTTAATAACTTATCTCGCAGAATGTTCTTAGCTGCGACAATTTCGTAATAAATGTCCGTGATTTTCATATTTGTCAGGGCAAAATCAGCATACATTTGTGTATTTTGCTCTTTTATTCACGCCTTCTACAGATATTGATAGTTATAGACGAAAAATCTCTTCTGCCCTTCATACCGGGGAAAATCTTGCTATTTCGCTTACTTTTGGTATTCGTTTTTTAAGTAGAAATATCGTGCAGCGAGGTCATATAAATAGTAAAATAGTTCTCAAACGAACACCTTAGTTATTAGCGGAAAAGCTGCAGAGATATATTAAGATTGTGGTCAAACCCTAAAATCGCTGTTTTTTATTGGAGTATTCTATTGTTGCTTATGGAATATTAACATGCGTATGGAAGTTGAAAAGGCATCACAATTAAAATGGCCTGTTAGCGTTACTGAAGGAGATCTTGCCATAAAATTAGATGCGTGTAAAAGTCAGAATTTTCAGAAATAAAAACGTTCGTGTATTTCTGAAAATAACGTGGCTACTCACATCCTACCAGGTCTGATTTTCTCAGAGTGAAAAATTAAATTTCATTTGCAAAGATTTTACCAATTCCTTTCATTTTGATCAATGCTCTCTGGTAAAAAAAACGCACTAAATGCACTCATTTGGTTTAGGGTAGTCATCTTCATAGCAAATTGCCTAAACATCGGTGAGCGTTGAGGTCCATTAAGAGTCGTCAGTTTTTCCCATGCCAATGTATTTAGAAACAAGTTCTACATGTTAGACAAATAAGTAAAATATAGAGCGTTTGATATTCCCTGAAATTATCATCTAAATTTTGATAATCATGTTACATGTGTTACGTAATGGCCTGAAATGTAGCGCTAAGGAGTTGGGCAATGTTTTACTGGCTTTAGTGGGTGCTACATGTTAACCCTTTCTTTCATTCAGAAAAGTTGTAGGCAAATAATTCTTTAGTAGTTGGACAAGATAGAACACAATGAATTTTGTGTATCATGCAGTTTAATATAAATTTTTCTCTGTTAAGGCGGCAAAAGATTTGCAGAAAAAAACAACTGTACATTTTTTGAAGTTTCGACGGCAATCAACCACCTAGTTGACGAGCTCTTGGTCGACATTGTTGTTCAATGGAAACAGGAAACTGCAAATACTGAATTCAGTCGGCTGGGCCTGGCCGTGCCTGTCCCAAAACCTTCTTCAGCCTCGAAGTCTGGACGAAGGAGCTGGGTTTCAACCCTCAGTGGGCCAAAAAATACGTTGCAGCGTATTTTCAAACAGCAGTTTACAGCCAAGTCCTGTATTAATTTACAGCATAACACGTTTTCATAAAGTTTACTGTCATTTAATGACTTTGTTTTGAACTCATATTTTGTAAATGTGTTTCTACAGTAAGCTCTCATCAGAGTTTTATCCTTTTCGATTTTTAATCTGCCACCATGATAAAAGCGCGTGTTAGGAGGTCACAAATCGCAAAAACAGCTTAGTAACCTTTCATGTCAACAGTCACTACTTTAATTAACTACTTGAATATAAAGTTCATTTCCCTTTACTGCAGTAGTCCATAAGCATTTTTAGTCAAATTTCCTATTTGCTTGTTTTCATAGGTTCGTTGTTACTTTAGGAAAGGCATCCTTAGGATTGAAGTATACGCAGAATCATTGATGTTTCGAGGGGAGATCAACGGTCTTGGAATATTGGGCGCTTTTGCAAAACCTAGATGGACTTTTGGAGGAGACCCTAAACTGTAGTAGTCCTGATGATGAACAGACATTTTCGGATCTCGGCAGGAGAAATAACTGGCTTAAGTCGGTTCCAAGCACTGCAAAATTACGTGCAAAATGCTATTTAGATAGGTTATTTTCACTAATGCTACTGTGCGTTGTTAAAATACTGTTTAAGACAAAGCTCACATGTCAATACATACAAATATTCCTGCTTTCCTGCTCGGCGCAAATCGATATTACAAAATCATCTTCAAGCCTTTTAAGAGTTTACCTTGCGGTTATGCGTAGGGATCTGTCTCAGATCTAGTAAGTCTGCCTGTTATTTGTCAGTTGGCAAACAGTTCAACAAGAATTTCCTTGGAAACTTTTCGTTCGGAGATCAAGTTTACAGGATGACGACACTGCCTGGGTCTCTAATCAGAGCCCACTTTTGTAAGTTTACTGCTAAACTTCGTCTTATAGAGGGGTGATTAGGTAACCTTAAATACAGTATTGCCTTCCGGTCGGAGACTGCAACTAACCGCGAGAGTGTGGTTGAAAGAGACAGAACGTCACATTTAGGTGGAACGAAATTATAACACGAAATAACGACGTACGACTTTCCGCTGCCAAGTGTCCATGTGGCATAAATGCATGCTAAGGGATGCTTGTCATATTATAAGCCCTAACAGTTATGAACAAACACCGGCTAGATCGCAGTTGGTAGACAGGAATGGGAAGGCGGACGGCGACCTTAACCCTAATCCTAACCTTAACCTTAAAAGTTAACCGTTAACCCCATCGGCAACCATTACCCTAACCCTAACCGAAATCGTAAACGTAACCCTAGTTCTTAGACATAGATCTGGCCGGTTAGGATTAGGGTGCCGGTTAATGGTGTCTGATTTTCGGGTTAAGGTTATGCTCTTTAGGCTTAGATTTTCGGGTTACGGTTAGGATTTGAGTTTACGACTAGCTTTCAGTATTACGGTTAGGTTTTACAGTTTGGACTAGGTCTAAGAACTAGGGTTACGTTAACGATTTCGGTTAGGGTTAGGGTTGCCGTTAGGGTTAACGGTTAACGTTTAAGGTTAAGGTTGGGATTAGGGTTCAGGTCGCCGTCCGCTTCCCCATTCCTGGCTACCAACTATGATCTAGCCTCATAACCTCAACCGTAAAACGAAAGCCAAATGGGTCAGATGGGATTAGGCAGCCCCACAAAAAACCCAGTAAACAAACCTCCAGCCATCTGTAATACGGGACCTGGCTACCAACTGCGATCTAGCCCAAATACCTGTTTGGTAGAGGCTATAAAACAACTAAAATGTCCTTAACCGTTGTAGCCTGAAATGTGAGACAAATGGCAACAACACGGGCTGAGCAACTGCAACTTTTATGTCATAATGCTGCTCGCTTTCAATTAAGTTACCGGTTCCATAACGTGTTACGTACATTTCCGGAAAGACAGATATAAATAATGGCTAGTCCCAAGCAATATCTGCCGGCGCGTGTGAGATAGCAAACAAATCAGGCGATTCCACTGTATCAAACCGGGCATGCATGTGCGAAATTAGAGGTCTTCAGTGTAAATAAAAGCTGGAAAGTCATTAAAATCATCTCAAGTCTTTCGAAAGTTGACGGTTGTGGTCAAAGCGTTTACGCCAAAAATGGCCAGATATAAATGGAAAGTTGATCTAAAGTGTCATAAATTTTCGTAGTACGACCACGGGTTCCATTAATACAACTGCTGCCTTTGGAGACCAAAGAGCCTTCTGATTTTGGCGACATTCTCGAAACTTACTTGAGAACCCTGCAGTTTTTGTTCTTTGTTGAGGGTGAAAAGGAGCCCCGTATGTTGTGGTTGCACGATCTAACATAATGGGATAGCTCTTTGTGGCTTTTTGAACAATGCAATGGAGGATTGTTTGCCACAATGAGCGTAGTGCGGGTCAAATAAATCAATTAGGAAGTGTTATATGTGCCAAGTTTTGCACAGAATTTTGTGTATCATAATCCGTCACTACGCGATTCTGCTGAAACCAAACGATCGGTGTTGTGTCCGCTGCCACTTTTCAAATACACTTTTGTTGTTAACAAATTTCACAGTGTCCTCCTCCAATATGTAGCACCCAGTCCGGCACAGATTTTCTCAGCATTGCACGAGTACATTCAAAACATTTGTTTAGGCCTTGAAATTAACGGCACGTTAAAATAAACGATGGTCCACTCCCACAAATTTCGAAACCAATAGAGCTCCTAATTATCCAAACGTAACGTGCACTTTATACCCACGCAATGTATGTGAATGGTGAAAATAAAGTCCCCATTGTTTCAAGGCCGGTTTTGCATGCCTTGTTGTTTACATTAATTCCTGCGCCCAAAAGGACTTTGTCTACAGTATTGATGAGCACAGAAAATCTCCTAAGTATAAAGTAGAGTTACATCGGTCAGGTGCTCTCGTGTAAATTGGTAAAACAGTCACGAAGTTAACTATAGGTTAGAAATACTTTAAGTATATCATAGTTAGCGAGCAAATTGGATGCACAATGTCCAAAGGACTTTTTCTAGCCAGTCGGTCATTAACTATCACCTTTAACTTTGCTGACTGATACAATAGCTTGTCGGTGACTTTTTGATTTTCGGGTCTAACAATCTCTGTCGGTCGCACTTGGCAAATAAACTGCTCAGTTTTATGACGTCAAAATAAAACTTGTCCTGAAATGAAAGGAGAAGATCAACCTGCTCCAAACCGTCAACAGATAAAGGCATAAATGGGAAGGCGTAAATTTGTGTCCTTTACTAAGTCGATTGGGAGGTAAGAACTAATGGGTCCTTCCAAGACAGTGGTTTTATTTCACCGGGGTCCATGCTTCGGAGCCTTCTAATCTTATTTCTCAAAAACAACTCAGTAATTCCTGTTTTGGCATACATCAACGTTCATGAGATCTTGCAATTTTTACGTGTCTTTAATATGTTTTGGATCTAAATTACCATATATTTGCGGTAGTAGGACATATCGGTATGACTGCTTACAGCATAGTGATGTACGGTAGGCCACTGGCTTCCACCCGGGTACGATCTTTGTTAATTCGCCATATGAAGTATCCAACGCAGTAACAGTGATAGAAAGAAGTGCATGATTTTTCTTGCATTGAAAATATATAGTTTGAAAAGTGTAAACCATAAACGTAAATTAAATGGCAAATCGGGTCCAAAATTCTTCCGGAATTAATAAGCTTTATACCTAGATATCCTTTTTCGAGTATAATATTTGAAAATGCGAGACACTGTCAAATGAGTATAGGAAAAGTGTTTTGGATGTGCTTTCTAAAAAATATGTTTGAGTCTATAAGACCATCAAAATATGTGGAAAAACAACAGTGTTTTAGGATTACGTTACAAGACAGTCAATATTACAACCCCACGTAAGTAATGCTTCCTCCTCCAGATCAGACTCCGGAATTTGGTCCAATCTTTCATGATACTGGTTACTGACCATGCTAATACGGAAAGCAATTACAGCATAACGAATGTACGGTATGCTGCTGACTTTTAGCTGTTCGTCTTCTGGACATCTGGTGAACTCTCAGCAACGTAGAACTCACTGTCTAGGTAGTGTATATTTCCCACTAATGTCACCGTTTGATGCTTACTAAATATTGTGCAAAAACATCTCTTTTTAGTAGAAAGTTGCCTCTTCAGCCTGTCCTTTTTGCGTATGGGGTACTTTGCTCTCAGTAGTCGTACTCTATGTTTATTCTCATATGCGACCCATGTTTTTCTGTTCTCTTACGATTTTAAAAACTGTAGCGGCACTATTTGACAGACTAATGCAAATATAATGTACGAACCTGCCAGTAGCCGAAGTCTTGCAGACTATTCTTAAACGCAACCAACGCCCACAGAGGACAAAACATGGATAGACCATGGTTTCCTGTCAAGTGTATGCAATAAATTAGGCCAGTACTTCAGGCGAATCAGGCGTTAACATTTAGTGTTCTCTAGTTCACAGGAATGCGTGCTCAAGGCTCGAGTAAGATGGCATCTGTGATTAAGTTGGCACCGCCTGGTGACGACCAATAACTTCATTCTTTTGTCCGTGGTGGTTTGGTTAACAATTTCCATCTGTTAGTTTTATACTCCTTTTAATCACTCCAGTTTCAATTATGCGTGCGTCTAAAATAAAGGATAAAATAGGTTCAAAAGGACCGGAAAACTCTCCTTCATATTGCGCGTTACACAGACATATAAAACAATGCTCAAGAAATCTGCACTCTCATCTATGTTGTCGAATTTGTGCTTATGTTCTAGCTTGACTTAAGTACAGTCACTGACCGATGTCATTAAATGTTAGCCGAGATTCCGAAACACCTTTTATATTAAAAGGATTTTTAAGTAGAATTGTAGTGTTGACTGTCCTGCGGCATAATATCATGATATTTCAGGCACGGTAGGACGCTGAGCTTCTAAAACGCTTATTTTTGGTCGCCTGCATAAATTGCGCACGGCAAAAATGACTACTTATTTAGTATTCATTCTTTCATTGGATTCCAGTTAGATATATTTTTATAGAAAATGTCTACAAAAATATTATTTTGCTCATTTGGCAGAAAACCACCTCCTCTT